TATAGCTCTAACCGTTCATATGATACGAAATGGTACCAAATGTAGTACATTTTAATATTTTTCGTAAACCTATAGTGCGAATTTCCAAAAACGCTTTGGTACATCTATCATCCCCTCCATCAGTGACCCTCATTCCAAATTTAAGATTTCTAGCTCTACCGCTTCCTCAAATACAAAGCGTACCATATTTAGTACTTTTTACAGTTCTAATACGAATTAACGAGTTTTACTCGTTTTACAAATCCGAGCCAATTTTTCGAAGGTCTGTATGTACATAAAGCTCGGGTATAAATAATTTCCTGATCACACAATTGAAACCAATCGACACGAAATTTTGCCTGATAAGAGAGTTAAGGATAGGGAAGAGTTCTAGCATTTTGGATGACCATTTGATTATATTTTGCTGTAAAATGAACCAGAACAACTAACAGCACGACGGAGTGCGTAAATGTTAGGCAAATGTCCCTGGTCAAAATGCTAAGGGTAATATCTGGGCAGTGTTCGGTGACATAATTTCAAATGCGAAATCTTCCAAAATGGATTTGGACATAAGGAAGCTTCTAACATATTGTAGTGTTGTAGGGTATCGCATGGTCGGCCCCGCACGACTATAGCCTCTGCTTTCTTGTTTTTCTATGTAGATATGGATCCACTTCGCTGAATGGCTGAAATGTCTTCAAATCGGTTCAGTTCTACATTTAGATCCTTACATGTATGTTTTTCCGATTTTCAATTTAAGTTTCATCGACCTCCCAATATTTTTTTTTGAAATTCCCAATACCCAAAATGTAGTGTTCCCAAAGTCTTATCATTCTACTTTACTTCCCGATCCCTTACCATTTCCAGCTTCCCAATATCCTCTTGATTTCGTCTGATATTACGAATCTTTAAATTGTTCGAAATCCACAACACTTTCTCCTACATACCTATTCCAACCACTACCATTAATTACACTCTACATAGTTACAGATTATAGGGCGCTCAAAAACGATTAGCCGTTGCAAAAAAAAAAAAAAACGCTTCACAGTAGCAAGCGCGTGTTATTTAAAGTAAATTATTAAAATGACAGAACTGAGAACACAAAAAAATGAGTGGGCGGGCGGTTGGATATTTCACAATTTTTTCTTAAATGAACTCTTATTAAATGTTTAAATAAATTTGTGACATTGTCACTGATTCGGCGACAGGCCATGGAGATTATTGTTCACGGGGATGGAAACAGTGATGATGGTGATGATGACGATGATGAGGTTTATTATTAATAGAAACTATTGTCGTTGGTTTTTAAAGACAACAAAAAAAAATAATTTTACAAATAATGATGATGACGATGATGATAATGATTACCAGTAATGAAAATGTTAATAAAAACAATTATTTGAGCTTGAGGTCAAGCTCAAATAATGACCTCAAGCTCAAATAATTGTTTTTATTAACTATCCAAAAGGTCAAAAAACCAGAGAAAATATTTAGTAATGAAAATGTTAATGAATTTCTCGATGGTAATTATCATAGATATTAATTGTATTTTACAAATATATATATATATATATATATATATATATATATATATATATATATATATATATATATATATATATATATATATATATATATATATATTATATATATATATATATATATATGTATATATATATATATATATATATATATATATATTTATATATATATATATATATATATATATATATATATATATTATATATATATATATATATATATATATATATATATATATATATATATATATATATATATATATATATATAGATATATACATATATATATATATATATATATATATATATATATATATATATATATATATTATGAGAACGGTGCCTTGCACTGTGGGTGAAAATGAGCTTCTTGAATAGGGTTTTAAATAAGGGTTTTTGTTTCTTCGTGCCCTCACACATACATAGTATGGAGGGTATATTAAGTTCGTCATTCCGTTTGTAGCTCATCGAAATAATAATTTTAGACATAGCAAAGTCTATATATATTATTGATCAACGTAAAATTCTAACACGATTTAGCCTTGAGTCAAAACGAATCTTTTGCCTGCAGGCAGGTCAAGTTCGAAGGTAGGCTAGATTGGTTCCAGGGGTTAAAGTACGCAGGAGGAACTCCTTTTGTGGATATTCAGACAATTTTATTGAAAAATTTTGCTACTATCATTAAATAGGGAGGGGTACCGTTATATGGGGTAGGGTTAGGCCCCTACAACGGTATCCCTCCCTATTTGATGCTTCTAGCCCAATTTTTCAATAAAATTGTCTGAAAATTCACAAAAGGAGTTCCTCCTGAGTACTTTACATCCTGAAGAAGTATTGTCTATATAGGTCCATGATATCCTGCATCCCCCATATAACCGTAACCTCCCAATTTTCGGTATTTTGATGATTTTAGCAACATTTTGACAATGGAATTGTCTAAAAATCCATACTAGAAGTTCTTTCTAAGCATTTCAACCCCCTGGAAGAGAAATGTCTATATAGGTCCACGATATCGTATAGCCCACATACAACGGTATACAAAATATCGATTAAGGGGGGGGGGGGGGTCATAATCGATATTTTGTTAATTTCAGAGACATTATTAACCGAAGTTGTTTAAAATTTCGTATTTAGAAATCGTAATGGGTACTACAGCCTCTAACAAAAAGTGCGTATGCAGGTTCGCGTCTTCGAATAGCCTCCATATAACGGAACCTCCCAATATTCGGTATTTTGTTGATTTTAACGAACTTATTCACCGTGTTTGAAGTTCCTAATATGTACTAAAGCCTGTGACAGAAAATTGTCTATACAGGTTCAGGTCTTCCTATAGCCCACATACAACGGTATCTCTCAATATTCGGTATTTTTATGATTTTAGCGACATTATTCACCAGAGTTGTTTCAAATTTCGTATTTAGAGTTCGTAATGAGAACTACAGTCTATGACAGAAAATTGTCCATGTAGGTCCAGGTCTTCGTATAGGCCCCATATTTCAGTACCTACCTATATTCGTTATTTTGACGATTTTTTTGCTACAATATTCACCGAAATTGTTTGAAATTTCGCATTTGAAGTTTCTGATAGGTACTACAGCCTAAGACAGAAAATTGTCCAAGCTGGTCCAAGTCTTCGTACACACCCCATATATCAGTACCTCCCTATATTCGGTATTTTGACGATTTTAGCGACATATTTCACCGGAGTTGTTACAAATTTCGTATTTCAAGATCGTAATGGGAACTACTGTCTATGACAGAAAATTGTCTATGCAGGTCCTGGTCTTCCTATAGCTTCCATATATCAGTACCTCCCTATATTCGGTATTTTGACGAATTTTGGGTACAATATTCACTTGAAATTGTCTGAAAAGGTCTTCGTTTAGGTCCCATATATCAGTACCTCTCTATACAGGGTGAGATGAAAAAACTGCAACAAAGTCAAATGCCATAATTTTTTTATTTTTTTTAAAGTTTTATTGAATGAAAGCAAAAAAATGCCGGAAATAGCATCAAATTTTAGAATAAGTTTAGATTTGTTCGAATTGGTCACGAATTATGGCCTTCAAACGGCCAATGAAACAGTCACACGTTGCCCGAATGTTGCTCTGCGGTACTTTGGCCCATTCCCGATGAAGCGTTTGCTTGAGGTGATCGACCTTTTTTGGTATTTTTTAGTGCCAACCTTGATTTCCAAAATACTCCAGACACAATAGTCCAACGGATTGGTATTCGGAGATTTTGGTGGCCATTTTGGTGGAAATGAAGCGAGGAACCTCATTTTGTAACCATTCTTGGGTGGTTCTGTTGAAATGTCCAAGGTCTGCGGCCAAAATTTTTGCGTGCCCCAGGCACCCTTTAATACACCCTCCAAAATATTTTCGCGATAGTATTCTATATTTATTCTGATGCCACGGTCGATTAATACGAGCGGAGAGCGACCATCGGCTGTTATGGCGGCCCACACCATCACCATGGCGGGCGCTTGAGTTCCGGTGGTCAACCGAAGGTGCACATTTTCAGCTGAGCACTTTGGGAAGTAAACACGATCATTTTGTTTGTTTACAAACTGCTGGACAATGAATGTTTTCTCATCGGAGGAAACCAAATTCGGCAGTTCACCACTTTCGGCCAAGCGAAGCAACTCTTTACCTCTTTTGAGTCTAATTTCTTTCTGTTGTGGTGTAAGTTCTTGCACTTTTTGGAATATCTATGATATTTCAAGTTTCGTATTTGAATATTGTAATGGCTTCTGGAAAAAGCTGCCTATGTAGGTCCACATCTTCGTATAAACCCCAATATAACGGATATATTTTAATTTTTAAGATTTTAAACGATTTTTAACAGCTTTTATTTTATATTAGTTATTTATTATTATTTATTTATTTATTTATTTATTTATTTTTTTTTTTTTTGAAATATCCAAATTCGTCCCTAATTGTGGAGGGTATTCAAAGTACGGCCTGGCCAAACTTTCTGCTTTTCTACTTGTTAAAACCAATCTTTCATTCATTTTAAAATTCAGTTTATTAAGCCCGTCTCGAAAGAGAAAAAATTAAATTATTTTTTTTATTTTTTTTATTGTGTCCCACTGTTTTGTCATTGTGTAGGAAAAAATAAAACAAAGTATAATTTAAAACGCACAATTTTTTTATATAAATATGTTATTGTTTTTCGCCATTATATACATAAATGTTTTTTTTTTTTATGTGGCAAAAAAAAATAAAAATCACAGCCGATTTAATTAGACACATTTTATGCTACCATTCTCAGGTCATTATTAAATTTTAAAAACAATTTAATTAACATTGTGTTCTACTTAATTATTTATGGTAAATATTATTTTACGTTTTTTCTCTTCTGTTTCAAATTTAATTAATAGTTATTAAAATAAGCCTATTATTGCTAAATAATATAAAAAAAAACAATTCCCTTGGAATAACAATTAATCCAATATATTTTTCCTCTCTTTCTCTGTAGCCATGGCGAGGATCTCATTGTGACACCATTTGCCCAAATTTTAGCGAGTTTACGTTCTGTGCGCAATAATTTATTAAGTCTGACAAATGTTCCGGCATCCAACAAGTAAGTAGTTGTTTTTATTGTTATTGTTTTTTTCTTCTTTCTCTTAATTAATTTGGATTTAGCTGCCCTATGTTTAACTTTAAAGCTGTTACACAACGCAAACAACACTAAGCCCCTTAACCCCCCCCCCCCACTTAAAGCTCGGCACAACCCCGATAGCCCCCGCCCCCGCCCCCTGGGGCAAAACAATTGTCTTGTAGCCCAAATTCCAAAAATAGATTGTTGGTGTTGTTGTTCTGTTTAATTGTGTTTTTGTCTTCTTCTTGACATACCCTCCCAAACAATAAATTGCACCTGGCTGAAATTTAAAATATCCCAAAAAATTAACAAATATTTAAATAAAAAAGGAAAAGTTTTTATTGTTCACCCTCGTAAATTGCTTGGAGTTATACATAGATGACAATTTTGTTGGGAAATACATATTTTCACACGTTTTCTCAATGTGTTTTCAAATTTTAATACACTTTTTCTTTTATTACTATTAATACATCCCTTTTGTGAATGTGCAGGGGTCCATAGATTTGAAGATCTTTTAAAACCTAGAAAAATGATTTTAAAAAAAATATTTAAAAATAGTTTTGAGTGAACCTTTAGAAAAATAACTTCAAACCATATTTTAAAACACCTACCATAACTTAATGAAAATATATTAAAAATAAAATATTGAATAAATTGTTCATGCTCGAGGACCAAAAATAATAATACTTCAAAAAAATACTTCAAAATGTTCAATATTTAAAATTTAAGTTATGACATAATTTTTAATATTTACAAAGTTCATAATTTGTTTTTTTTCGTCCAAGTATTTTTAATAAATGAATATCTGGAAATTTATATTTAAAAATAATCCAAAATTTTTAAACAATATTAAAATATATAATTTTTCCACAATATTTTCAAAAATAAGTATTTAAAAAAAATATATTTAAAAAAAAATATTAAAAAATCTACGATTTTTTAAAAAGAAATGGTAAAAAAATCCTCAAATTCAAATTGTCTTGAAAAATATTTGTAAACAAATGTACGATCTGTTAAAAAATGTTTTAAATAAATCCAAAATATTTTAAATAAATTTAAATGATTGTACAAATAAAAATTAAAAAATATCCATGATTTGTTGAAAATTTACAATCTGTTAAAAATATTTAAAAAAAGTCTCGGATTTGTTGATAATTTTTTATCCAAATTATTAAAAAAATAAAAATATATGTATAACATAAAAAATACTTTTTGCAATTTTTCTTCAAAATTTATTTAAAAAATCATGGTTTGTTGACAACTTTCTCCAAAAACATTTTTTTCAAAACTTTCGTTTTTTTTAATATATTAAAAAGTCCACGATTGATTGAATTTTCTTTTTAATCCACGATTTAAATATTTTATTTATTAAAATCTACGATTTAGATATTCAAAATATATTAAAATTTATCTTTTAAAATCACTATTATTTTTTTAAATTAATAATCATAATATTTTTTTTAAATTTAAATATATTTTTTTTTAAATCAATGATTTAAATATTTTCAATATTTTGATATTTTTTTTAAATTTAAATAATTTTTTTAAATCCACGATTTTTATATTTTTTTCTAAATTTAAATATTTTTTGTTATATCCACAATTTAAATATTTTTTTTAATTACACGATTTAAATATATTTTTAATATTTTTTTAAATTTTAATATTTTTTTAAATCCACGATTTTTATATTTTTTTAAATTTAAATATATTTTTTAAATCCACGATTTAAATAATTCTTTTTAAATCTACGATTTTTATATTTTTTTTAAATTTAAATATTTTTTTAATTACACGATTTAAATATATTTTTTGTCAATAAATTAAAAAATCCACGATTCACTGAAAAATATTTTTTTTTTTATTCCACGATTTAGGTATTTTCTTTTTTTTTAACATCGGCATTTAAATATATTTTTTATGATTTGTTGAATTAAAAAAAAAACGATTTGTTGAAAATCTATGATTTAAATATTTGTTGAATTTTAAAGAAATTTTAAAGAAAAATTCACGATTTAAATATTTTTTATAAACTAATAATTATTGATTTTTTTATTCACGATTTTTTAACTATTTTTTTTAAATTCACAATTTCATTTTTTTCAAAAAATGCAGGATTTTGAAAAATTATATTATATATATATTTTTTTAAATCCACAATTTAAGTATCTTTTTTAAAAAATCTACCATATAAATATTTAAAGAAATCCTGGATTTAAATTTTTTTAAATCCATAATTTGTTAAACCATATTTTTTAAAACATTGTTAAAACAAATTTTTTATTAAAACATTGTTAAAAATAGTTTTTTTTAATCTAAAATTTAAGTATTTTTTTTTTAAAATCCACGATTTAAATACTTCTTCAAAAATCAACGATTTGTTGAAAAATATGTTTTTAAAAAAGTCCACTATTTGTTAATAAAAAATAATTTGAAAAAAAACAAGTAAGCAAAGGCTACAGTCGAGCGGGGCCGACCGTTGAATACCCTACAACACTATAATAAACCATACAGTTTATATAGGCTTCTCTAATTTTCGAATAATAGCAACTTCAACTAATTTGCTCATTTCCAGTTTATTGGTAGATGTTGCACGTAAATGGTCTTCCTAGATCTGGAACCAATATTTCCCAAAGACCCATAATCTCTCAGAAGTGGCAGAAGATTAACATTTATTATTGGTTTTTGACTGAAGCGCATCTATATGAGATACATACATTTGACTATATTCTTCAATGAAATAGTGCGTCGAAGTGCGTCTTTCCTGTATTTGTGAATTCTCCAAAAAGTCTCTTGAATGGACATTTTCGTATTTTGTCTACAAAAGTTGGCAAACTATTTCACACATTGAATATTTTTGGATGGCCATTAGAAACTGCTTGGCTTTTGCAATGTGCGGTAACCCCCATTCAAATGTGCGTGAGGATCGGGCGATAATTACGACCTGCCGACAATTTTGCAGTTTTTTGGTCCATTTCATCTCCTAAATATATGGCGATCATCTCCAAAAAGAGTAGGCTTCTATTCTGACCCTCATTTTATCCCCATGCAAAATTTCGTAAGGATCGGGCCATAAATGCGATCTGTATATGATATCCTGATATCTCAACTACTTAGTTTTGTTAGCTGTAGAAAAATTACCAAATGTTTAATTCAAAATGAAAATATGCCAAAAATATGACAAAATTTAAAAAATATGAGAAAATATTACAAAATCAATATTTTCATCTTTAGGGAGATATTTTTATGCAATTTTTTAGACGTTTTTTCTTTCCTGCCAAGAGGCCATTCTGAATTAATGAGAACTGTCGAAATCAGTTCAGCCGTTCTCGACATATAAGAGATCTTTCAAGCATATCTTCTTTGATAAACATATATATCGCACATATTTTGCTATATATCCGATTTGATGGATGTTAACATCAATGTAAAGATCCGAAGTAACATTGTCATGGCTTTGTGATATCGCCGGGATTTAAAATATTCGCGGTTTTATGAAAAATTTTGAATTTTTTCAACGCAAAAGATATGGTCTATTTTACCCGCTAAATATTATCCGATGACCACCCAAATTGGTAGGCTTCTTCCCTGCCCTAAAGTCTAGCCACATGCGAAATTCCGCGTCGATTGGTCTATAATTGCGACCTGTATAGCTACTGCAAAATCCGACATTTTTTCAGTATTTGGTCCATTTCAACCCCTAAACATTTGGCGATCATCTCCAAAAGCAATAGGGTTCTATTCTGGTCCAAGCCCCACCTACAGTCTAAATTTCGTGAAGATCGGACCATAATTGCGACCTGTAGAGTGATTACAAATTAACATGGACAGACGGACAGACGGACAGACGGACGGACGGACATACATAGCTAGATCAACTCAGCTCGGCGAGCTAGGAAGATCGATATATACTTTCCTATGTGGGAAACCAATATTTCGAGGTGTTACATAAATTCTGGCCCAATCAAACTTATAATACCCCCAACACATAGTGTTGTAGGGTATAAACACGATATAATGCTTAAAAAATCCACATAACAAAAATTGAAAAATATAAATTTAAGAAAATATATTTTTTTTAATATTAAATAAAATCATGCTTTTAGGGCAATTAAAAAATACATAATCTTAAAAATATATTAAAAATTTCCTGAAAATACATTCGTTTCACAACTATTTTAAAAAATACTCAAAGTTTTACATCCACCCAAAAATCGCTGCAATAAAAAAATATTAAAAAAAATACTAATTTAAAAATCAAGGACTAAAATATTAGAAAATCCACACAAAAAATATTTTAGAATAATAATATATAAAAACACATATAAATATTAATTTCTAAAAATATTCTAAGCTTCAAAAAATATACAGTATTTTCATCAATACTCCTGCACATTCCTAAAAGCTATGCCACACATTGCAATTTATTAAATGTTTGCCAACAAACCTGCCCCCAACACACGCACACACCAAATTCTCAATGTTCGTGTTTTTTCTTTCTTGAAATAAATTCCATAATAAATAGAATCCTTTAAACCAATTAAAAATATTTTTAACATATTTTTACCTTAATTTCTTTTTTCTCTTTCTCCTTTTTACTCCCCCCAAAAATAAAAAAAATATATATAATAACAACAAATAACTGTAAACAATTATTTTTTATTATTAAAAAAACAAAACAACAAATGCTTAATTTACCTTTTTTCTAACAATTTATTTTGTTTATTTTTTATTCTCTCTTCTTTTCGTTTTTTTTTATGTTTTACCCACGCTTTTGAATGTGTCCCCATTTTTTGGATTTTTCTGTTCTGTTATGTTCCCTATAACCTTGTTTGCATTTTGTCTTGTTTTCCCCCTTCCCGTTTTATTTTACCAACCCCCCACAAAAAAAACTCCCAATGTTGCCCTGTCAATGTCATTTCTTTTTCCAATAATATTTGTGTGCCTGAATGTGTGTCTGTGTGTGAATGTCACTGTCGTGTGGAACAATGTATTAATCATCTAAGATCTAGGCGACCAACCCAAACATCTATGGGACGTTCATCGACGGCGGGTATTATTCTGAACCAAGGCGATGAGGCGTATACGCGTTTGGCCACCGATACCATTGAAGAATTAGACTGGTGCTTGGATCAATTAGAAACAATACAGACCCATCGTAGTGTCTCCGATATGGCATCGCTTAAGGTGGGTATTATTTTCACCCTGAAAGTAGGCAATGATTTTTGAATACTTTTTCTCTCTCTCTCTTTTTGCCACACACAGTTCAAACGTATGCTGAACAAGGAATTATCACACTTTAGCGAGTCGAGTAAATCAGGAAATCAAATATCCGAATATATTTGTTCAACTTTCTTGGGTAAGTAACAAAATCTTTATGATAGCAATAAAATATAAACTTTAAATGCCAAAAATATGCCATACTTTATTTTCCGGATGTATATACCTTCTACGGATTATATAATATCAAATTTTAATATTTATTCAGGGGTGGCAGAAGTTTTCTAAAAATTATACAAACACACAAATCAATCATTCAAACAGCCCCAAAGTATGCTTCAATAAATTTATGCTAATGCCACCGTTTTTTTTTTCTCTTTCTCATGGCAAATTCAAAACATAATGGGCCATCCAACCATCCTCTAAGGCAAAAGAAACCTTGAAATATTGACACAAAAAAATTTCATCTTCAGCATCCCTCTCCCGAAAAGGGAATTTAATTTTTTGTTTTTGTAATTAGATTTACTCAAACAACACACAAGTGGGGGGAAGGGATGGAGGCTTCCATCAGCATAACGCAAGAAATGTCTTTAATCTTCTTTTATTTCATCGTCGCTTTAATGCATTTATACAATTTTAAATCGCATTTATATATTGGCAGAGTATTTTGGCGGTTTTGCTTTTATTCCAAATGTCCTCTAAACCCCCACCCAATCCACCAGAGGAATATGTGACACCTGGGTGATTTCACATTAAATATTGGAGAAAATCGTCAGGGTTAGATTTCTTTATTGCAAAATTATAACAAAAAAATGACAGGGAAATAACATTTTATGGCCGATGTTTTGTGGATAAAAAATATTATTCACGTCTGTGGATGAAAAGAATTATCCCAGTCCGTGGATAACATTTTTTATCCACAAAAGTGGATAATACTTTTTATCCACCAATATGGATAATATTTTTTATCCACATACGTGGATAACATTTTTATCCACAAACGTGGATAATATTTTTTATCCACAAATGTGAATAATATTTTTTATCCACATACGTGGATAATATTTTTTATCCACAACCGCGGATAATATAATATTTTTTATCCACAAATGTGAATAATATTTTTTATCCACATACGTGGATAATATTTTTTATCCACAACCGCGGATAATATTTTTATCCACAACCGTGGATAAATTTTTTTATCCACCAACGTGGATAATATTTTTTATCCACCAACGTGGATAATATTTTTTATGCAAAAACGTGAATAATAATTTTTATCCACAAACGTGGATAATATTTTTTATCCACCAACGTGGATAACATTTTTTATCCACAAACGTGGATAATATTTTTTATCCACCAACGTGGATAATATTTTTTATCCAAAAACGTGAATAATAATTTTTATCCACAAGCGTGGATAATATTTTTCATCCACCAACGTGGATAATATTTTTTATCCACAAACATGGATAATATTTTTTATCCACCAACGTGGATAATATTTTTTATCCACCAACGTGGATAATATTTTTTATCCAAAAACGTGAATAATAATTTTTATCCACAAACGTGGATAATATTTTTTATCCACCAACGTGGATAACATTTTTATCCCCAAACGTGGATAATATTTTTTATCCACCAACGTGGATAATATTTTTTATCCAAATTTGTGGATAATATTTTTTATCCACAAGCGTGGATAAATTTTTTTTTATCCACAAACGTGGATAAAATTTTTTTATCCACAAATGTGGATAATATTTTTTATCCACAAACGTGGATAATATTTTTATCCTCAAACGTGAATTATCCCCAAACGTGGATAATATTTTTTATCTACAAACGTGGATAATATTTTTTATCTACAAACGTGGATAATATTTTATCCACAAACGTGGATTATCCGCAGGCGTGGATAACATTTTTATCCACAAACGTGGATGATATTTGTTATCCACAAACGTGGATAATACTTTTATCCATAAACGTGGATAATATTTTTATCCATAAACGTGGGTAATATTTGGATAATATTATTCATCCACAATCGTGCATAATACTTTTTATCCACAAATGTGCATAATACTTTTTATCCACAAATGTGGATAATATTTTTTATCCACAAATATGGATAATGTTTTATCCACAAATGTGGATAATATTTTTTATCCACAAACGTGGATAATATTTTTTATCCACAAACGTGGATAATATTTTTTTATCCACAAACGTGGATAATATTTTTTATCCACAAACATGGATAATATTTTTTGTCCACAAACGCGGATAATATTTTTATCTACAAACATGGATAATTTTTTTATCCCCAAACGTGGATAACATTTGTATCCCCAAACGTGGATAACATTTGTATCCCCAAACGTGGATAACATTTTTATTCACAAATCTGGATAATATTTTTTTATTCACAAACGTGGATAATATTTTTTTATCCACAAACGTGTATAAAATCTTATCCGAACGTGTTTATTCAGTATAAGTATAAGTTTCGTTATTCATTAACCTAGAAGACCCTCTGGTATTTTTGGAATTTTTTTGTTTATTTATACCTTCAATAACTTTATCCTGGGCGAATAATTTATCCCGCAGCAATACCCTACGTCCACATGATTATTGCATCCCTTCCCTTTTTTTGGGTAGCTTGCTGTTACTCTAATCCAATTTCAAGATGACAAAATCTGCTGCTCTCCAAGGTCTCAGTTTTTTTTTCACTTTCACTAAAAAGTGTGTGCCGCCTCATTTCGTTTTCAAGCCCTTTTTTAAGCATTTTCTCTAGGGCGTTATAATTTGATTTAAATAATTTCTTTCCCTTCCATGAAACACCAACCTATCTATCACCAATACCAGTACTCATGGTAACCATCATTTACATGACCAAACTGTCACAGCTAGGGATCTGTTGGCCTGGCCACAGCGTTCCTCTCAATGTATGCTATGGGGTTTTTTTTGCCGCTTAATACCCAAGCTTTTAGAATATCCTTTAGACGTGGCGTTTCTGAAATCAAATCATTCAAATTGCGAAACGGCAAGCCAGAGAAAAAGGTACATTAACGAGTAAATCAAAACAACGGAAGTGGTAGCAGCAGCTGGGATTGGGTGCGAATAACAACCGCACAACAAAAACAGAAACGACGACAGGAGCTTTTAAAAATATAAAATTCAAATTTTGTTCGCAGCGTTCGAAAAAAAACACCTTTTTTATGTGGCTGAAACATTTACACACAAATATATATATATATATATTGTCCACAGTTACATTTTTTACGACCTTCCCTCATCGGTGTTCTGGGAAAAAAAGAAAACAAAATCCATTGCCTACCTTTAGGCTCTGGGTATAGTACATTTTTAACACTGTGTGATATGTGCGCACGTGTATAAATTTATGTTTTTTTATATTTAAATAAGGTTTATGCAATTTGCGCCAACCGTAACTGTCATCGGAAAAAAACGTAACAGAACAGATTTTGTTACTTTTCCTTTGCCACCAATAATGTGGCTCAGAAAATTTCCGGATGGAAACGCCTTTAAATATGTACGATTTTAAATCTATTTTATATTTCCATGATTGCTTTTATTTGATTTTAAAGAGTGTCTTGAAGGATTGAAGGATGTTAAGTTAAATATCCTGTATTTGGTTGATCCTTGAATGAAATTTCTTAAAATCTTAAATAAATAATTGACCTGATGATTCTTGAATAAAAAATTAACGTTTCCTACCATGCTGATCCTTGAAAAAAAAATTCTGTAAAAATCCACGTTTCTTGATCCCTGGGTTCTTGAATAAAATTTCTTTAAAAATCCTCATTTCTGGATCCCTGGGTCCTTGAATTAAATTCTTTAAAAATCTACGTTTCTTGTGGATTCTCGTCCTTGAATAAAAATTCTTTAAAAATCCACGTTTCTGGTCCTATTTGTCCTTGAATAAAAATTCTTTAAAAATCCACGTTTCTGGTCCTATTTGTCCTTGAATAAAAATTCTTTAAAAATCCACGTTTCTGGTCCTATTTGTCCTTGAATAAAAATTCTTTAAAAATCCACGTTTCTGGTCCTATTTGTCCTTGAATAAAAATTCTTTAAAAATCCACGTTTCTGGTCCTATTTGTCCTTGAATAAAAATTCTTTAAAAATCCACGTTTCTGGTCCTATTTGTCCTTGAATAAAAATTCTTTAAAAATCCACGTTTCTGGTTCTGTTTGTCCTTGAATAAAAATTCTTTAAAAATCCACGTTAATTGTCCTGTTTGTCCTTGAATAAAAATTCTTTAAAAATCCACGTTAATTGTCCTGTTGGTCCTTGAATAAAAATTCTTTAAAAAATCCACGTTTCTTGATTCCTGGATCCTTGAATAAAAAATCTTTAAAAATCCACGTTTCTTTTTCCCTGGGTCCTTACATAAAAATTCTTTAAAAATCCACGTTTCTTTTTCCCTGGGTCCTTACATAAAAATTCTTTAAAAATCCACGTTTCTTGATTCCTGGGTCCTTGAATAAAAATTCTTTAAAATCCACGTTTCTTGATTCCTGGGTCCTTGAATAAAAATTCTTTAAAAAATCCACGTTTCTTAAACCCTGGGTCCTTGAATAAAAATTCTTTAAAAAATCCACGTTTCTTAAACCATGTGTCCTTGAATAAAAATTCTTTAAAAATCCACGTTTCTTAAACCCTGGGTCCTTGAATAAAAATTCTTTAAAAATCCCCGTTTCTTGATACCTGTGTCCTTGAATATTTTTTTTTTTTTTAAATTCCTGTTGGCCCTTGAATAAAAATTCTTTAAAAATCCCCGTTTCTTGATACCTGTGTCCTTGAATATTTTTTTTTTTAAATTCCTGTTGGCCCTTGAATAAGAATTCTTTAAAATATCCACTTTTCTTAATCCACGGGTCCTTGAATAAAAATTCTGTAAAAATCCACGTTTCTTTATCCCTGGGTCCTTGAATAAAAATTCTTTAAAAATCCACGTTTCTAGATACTAGGGTCCTTGAATAAAAATTATTTTAAAATCCACGTTTCTTGATCCCTGGGTCCTTGAATAAAAATTCTTTAAAAATCCACGTTACTTGATCTCTGGGTCCTTGAATAAAAATTCTTTAAAAATCCACGTTTCTTGATCCCTGGGTCCTTGAATAAAAATTCTTTAAAAATCCACGTTTCTTGATCCCTGGGTCCTTGAATAAAAATTCTTTAAAAATCCACGTTTCTTGATCACTGGGTCCTTGAATAAAAATTCTTTAAAAATCCACGTTTCTTGATCCCTGGGTCCTTGAATAAAAATTCTTTAAAAATCCACGTTTCTTGATCCCTGGGTCCTTGAATAAAAATTCTTTAAAAATCCACGTTTCTTGATCCCTGGGTCCTTGAATAAACATTCTTTAAAAATCCACGTATCTTGATCCCTGGGTCCTTGAATAAAAATTCTTTAAAAATCCACGTTTCTTGATCCCTGGGTCCTTGAATAAAAATTCTTTAAAAATCCACGTTTCTTGATCCCTGGGTGCTTGAATAAAAATTCTTTAAAATCCACGTTTCTTGATCTCTGTATCCTTGATTAAAAATTCTGTAAAAATCCTCATTTCTGGATCCCTGGGTTCTTGAATAAAAATTCTTAAAAAATCCACGTTTCTGATGCCTGGGTCCTTGAATAAAAATTCTTTAAAAATCCACGTTTCTTGATCCCTGGGTCCTTCAATAAAAATTCTTTAAAAATCAACGTTTCTTGATTCCTGGGTCCTTGAATAAAAATTCTTTAAAAATCCACGTTTCTTGATTCCTGGATCCTTGAATAAAAATTCTTTAAAATCCACGTTTCTTGATTCCTGGGTCCTTCAATAAAAATTCTTTAAAAATCCACGTTTCTAGATACTAGGGTCCTTGAATAAAAATTATTTTAAAATCCACGTTTCTTGATCCCTGGGTCCTTGAATAAAAATTCTTTAAAAATCCACGTTTCTTGATCCCTGGGTCCTTGAATAAAAATTCTTTAAAAATCCACGTTTCTTGATCCCTGGGTCCTTGAATAAAAATTCTTTAAAAATCCACGTTTCTTGATCACTGGGTCCTTGAATAAAAATTCTTTAAAAATCCACGTTTCTTGATCCCTGGGTCCTTGAATAAAAATTCTTTAAAAATCCACGTTTCTTGATCCCTGGGTCCTTGAATAAAAATTCTTTAAAAATCCACGTTTCTTGATCCCTGGGTCCTTGAATAAACATTCTTTAAAAATCCACGTTTCTTGATCCCTGGGTCCTTGAATAAAAATTCTTTAAAAATCCACGTTTCTTGATCCCTGGGTCCTTGAATAAAAATTCTTTAAAAATCCACGTTTCTTGATCCCTGGGTGCTTGAATAAAAATTCTTTAAAAATCCACGTTTCTTGATCTCTGTATCCTTGATTAAAAATTCTGTAAAAATCCTCATTTCTGGATCCCTGGGTTCTTGAATAAAAATTCTTAAAAAATCCACGTTTCTGATGCCTGGGTCCTTGAATAAAAATTCTTTAAAAATCCACGTTTCTTGATCCCTGGGTCCTTCAATAAAAATTCTTTAAAAATCAACGTTTCTTGATTCCTGGGTCCTTGAATAAAAATTCTTTAAAAATCCACGTTTCTTGATTCCTGGATCCTTGAATAAAAATTCTTTAAAATCCACGTTTCTTGATTCCTGGGTCCTTCAATAAAAATTCTTTAAAAATCCACGTTTCTTGATCCCTGGGTCCTTGAATAAAAATTCTTTAAAAATCCACGTTTCTTGATCCCTGGGTCCTTGAATGAAAATTCTTTAAAAATCCACGTTTCTTGATCCCTGGGTCCTTGAATAAAAATTCTTTAAAAATCCACGTTTCTTGATCGCTGGGTCCTTGAATAAAAATTCTTTAAAAATCCACGTTTCTTGATCCCTGGGTCCTTGAATAAAAATTCTTTAAAAATCCACGTTTCTTGATCCCTGGGTCCTTGAATAAAAATTCTTTAAAAATCCACGTTTCTTGATCCCTGGGTCCTTGAATAAAAATTCTTTAAAAATCCACGTTTCTTGATCCCTGGGTCCTTGAATAAAAATTCTTTAAAAATCCACGTTTCTTGATTCCTGGGTCCTTCAATAAAAATTCTTTAAAAATCCGAGTTTCTTGATCCGTGGGTCCTTGAATAAAAATTCTTTAAAAATCCACGTTTCTTGATCCCTGGGTCCTTGAATAAAAATTCTTTAAAAATCCACGTTTCTTGATCCCTGGGTCCTTGAATAAAAATTCTTTAAAAATCCACGTTTCTTGATCCCTGGGTCCTTGAATAAAAATTCTTTAAAAATCCACGTTTCGTTAAAAATTCTTTAAAAATCCACGTTTCTTGATTCCTGGGTCCTTGAATAAAAATTCTTTAAAAATCCACGTTTCTTGATCCCTGGGTGCTTGAATAAAAATTCTTTAAAAATCAACGTTTCTTGATTCCTGGGTCCTTGAATAAAAATTCTTTAAAAATCCACGTTTCTTGATTCCTGGATCCTTGAATAAAAATTCTTTAAAATCCACGTTTCTTGATTCCTGGGTCCTTCAATAAAAATTCTTTAAAAATCCACGTTTCTAGATACTAGGGTCCTTGAATAAAAATTATTTTAAAATCCACGTTTCTTGATCCCTGGGTCCTTGAATAAAAATTCTTTAAAAATCCACGTTTCTTGATCCCTGGGTCCTTGAATAAAAATTCTTTAAAAATCCACGTTTCTTGATCCCTGGGTCCTTGAATAAAAATTCTTTAAAAATCCACGTTTCTTGATCCCTGGGTCCTTGAATAAAAATTCTTTAAAAATCCACGTTTCTTGATCACTGGGTCCTTGAATAAAAATTCTTTAAAAATCCACGTTTCTTGATCCCTGGGTCCTTGAATAAAAATTCTTTAAAAATCCACGTTTCTTGATCCCTGGGTCCTTGAATAAAAATTCTTTAAAAATCCACGTTTCTTGATCCCTGGGTCCTTGAATAAACATTCTTTAAAAATCCACGTTTCTTGATCCCTGGGTCCTTGAATAAAAATTCTTTAAAAATCCACGTTTCTTGATCCCTGGGTCCTTGAATAAAAATTCTTTAAAAATCCACGTTTCTTGATCCCTGGGTGCTTGAATAAAAATTCTTTAAAAATCCACGTTTCTTGATCTCTGTATCCTTGATTAAAAATTCTGTAAAAATCCTCATTTCTGGATCCCTGGGTTCTTGAATAAAAATTCTTAAAAAATCCACGTTTCTGATGCCTGGGTCCTTGAATAAAAATTCTTTAAAAATCCACGTTTCTTGATCCCTGGGTCCTTCAATAAAAATTCTTTAAAAATCAACGTTTCTTGATTCCTGGGTCCTTGAATAAAAATTCTTTAAAAATCCACGTTTCTTGATTCCTGGATCCTTGAATAAAAATTCTTTAAAATCCACGTTTCTTGATTCCTGGGTCCTTCAATAAAAATTCTTTAAAAATCCACGTTTCTTGATCCCTGGGCCCTTGAATAAAAATTCTTTAAAAATCCACGTTTCTTGATCCCTGGGTCCTTGAATGAAAATTCTTTAAAAATCCACGTTTCTTGATCCCTGGGTCCTTGAATAAAAATTCTTTAAAAATCCACGTTTCTTGATCGCTGGGTCCTTGAATAAAAATTCTTTAAAAATCCACGTTTCTTGATCCCTGGGTCCTTGAATAAAAATTCTTTAAAAATCCACGTTTCTTGATCCCTGGGTCCTTGAATAAAAATTCTTTAAAAATCCACGTTTCTTGATCCCTGGGTCCTTGAATAAAAATTCTTTAAAAATCCACGTTTCTTGATCCCTGGGTCCTTGAATAAAAATTCTTTAAAAATCCACGTTTCTTGATCCCTGGGTCCTTGAATAAAAATTCTTTAAAAATCCACGTTTCTTGATCCCTGGGTCCTTGAATAAAAATTCTTTAAAAATCCACGTTTCGTTAAAAATTCTTTAAAAATCCACGTTTCTTGATTCCTGGGTCCTTGAATAAAAATTCTTTAAAAATCCACGTTTCTTGATTCCTGGATCCTTGAATAAAAATTCTTTAAAATCCACGTTTCTTGATTCCTGGGTCCTTGAATAAAAATTCTTTAAAAATCCACGTTTCTTGATCCCTGGGTCCTTGAATAAAAATTCTTTAAAAATCCACGTTTCTTGATCCCTGGGTCCTTGAATAAAAATTCTTTAAAAATCCACGTTTCTTGATCCCTGGGTCCTTGAATAAAAATTCTTTAAAAATCCACTTTTTTTGATTCCTGGGTCCTTGAATAAATTTTTTTCAAAAATTCTTTATTGGTCCTTGAAAAAAAAATCTTTAAAAACTCACGTTTCTTGATCCCTGTTGGTCCTTGAATAAAATTTCTTCTTGCCTTAAAAAATCTGCCCACTTGTTATATTTGTTTGAAAATCATTTTATAACAAATATTCCAATGAAATTATTTTCAAAATTATTAATTATTTCTTTCCTTCCTTTTTCTTATTTTCAGACAAACAACAAGAATTCGATTTACCCTCAATGCGCCTGGAAGACAATACCGTTACAGCGCATGAGCATAGCGCCATAACCGGACCGAATCAACAGCGCAGTCGCAGTCCACGTGGTCCGCCCATGTCCCAGATATCCGGTGTTAAACGTCCTCTATCGCATACCAATTCATTTACCGGTGAACGTTTGCCCACCTATGGCGTTGAGACGTCACACGAAAGCGCACTGGGTACACAATTGGCCGAATTGGATACATGGGGCATAGATATCTTTAAGATCGGCGATTTGAGTAACAATCGCCCGCTCACCTGTGTGGCATACACAGTATTTCAGGTAGGTTTCATTTGGATTTTCAATGTTAACATTTCATTAACATGTCCTTCCATTCTTTTCCCCTTCTCCCCTACAGAGTAGAGAATTATTGACCAGTCTTATGATACCACCGAAAAACTTTCTTAATTTTATGAGCACTCTGGAGGACCATTATGTCAAAGACAATCCGTTTCACAATTCATTGCATGCGGCTGATGTCACACAAAGTACGAATGTCTTATTGAATACTCCTGCACTGGAAGGTGTCTTCACGCCACTGGAGGTGGGCGGTGCATTGTTTGCTGCTTGTATACACGATGTTGATCATCCTGGTCTAACTAATCAATTTTTAGTTAATTCAAGTGAGTCGAACGGCGGTATTTGTTTGAGAAATAAATTCTAATAATTTGCAATTTTATCCCTCGCCCCTCCTCTAGGTTCCGAATTAGCCTTAATGTATAATGACGAATCTGTTTTGGAAAATCATCATTTAGCTGTTGCCTTTAAATTATTGCAAAATCAAGGATGTGATATATTCTGTAATATGCAAAAGTGAGTACTGAAAAAATATTTAATATTCTTGGGAAAAATATCAAATGTTATTTTTTTTATTCAAGTTAGGATTAAAATCTATTTGACTTGTCCTATTTAAATCCTTAAAATCTCAGGATTAAATTCCTTAAAAATTCACAACTGGCTCTTGAACATATCCACAAAAATCCTCAATTGGCTCTTGAAAAATGCTTCAAAAATTCATGATTTTTTTCAAAATACTCAAAATACCTGGTTCCCTTATTTTAGTAATCCGAGAGGGTTCCTTGGGAAACGTAATTTAAAATCCGCAATTTTTTTCTCTTAAAATATTATTTTTATTATACCCTCCATTGTATGGTGGAGAATATAAAAAAATATTAAAAAAAGGTAGCGGATTTTAATATAAAAAAATTTTTATTCTGTTTGGAACACCTCGAAATATTTATCGGAGGCCACAAAAAGTTTATATTTTTCTGATCAGAATAAAATTATAAATTGATTTAACGATGACTGTTTGCCTGTCAGTTTAAATCACGGTAGAATCCACATTATTAATCTAGAGATTTGAAATTTGGCACAAAGTTTTATATTAGATGCAGGCTGATTGGTATTGAAAATGGACTATATTGGCCTACGTATACGCATAGCCTCCATATAACGGTACCTCCAGATTTTTGGTATTTTGAAGATTTCTGCCACAATTTCCAACCAGTTGAGCTAAATCTTGACATTTGAGGTTCTTGAAAGGTATGTTCTCTCCTTACAAAAAATGTTCATTTTATGTCAACTAACTGGTACAGCCCCCATATACCTCCCGATTTTCTTAATTTATAGGGTTTCTGCCACATTTTCCAACCAAATTAGCTAAATCTTGACAATTGGAGTTCTCGGTGGGTCAGTTCCCTCCATGCAAATAATATTCCCTAAGGGTCCACAAATTTTTATGGCCACCTTATTACGGTACATCCCAATTTTCGGTATTTTTAAAGTTTCTGCCACAATTTCCAACCAATTCAGCTGAAACTTGACATTAAGGGTTCTTAAAAGTTATGTTCTCTCCTTGCGAAAAATATTCATTTAAGGTTCACTAATTGGTACAGCACTCATATAACAATACTTCCATATTTTTTATTTTGAAGATTTCTGTTACAATATCCAAACAAATCAGCTGAAACTTGACATTTAAGGTTCGTATAAGGTCTGTTCTTTCCTTGCGAAAAATAATCATTTAATATCCACTAATAAGTACAGGTCCCAAATAGCGGTACCTCCCGATTTTCGATATTTTTAGGGTTTTTGCCACATTTTTCAACCAAATCAGCTGAAACTTCAATTTTGGGGTTCTTGAAAGGCCTGTTCTCTCCTTGCGAAAAGTGTTCGATTAATGTCCACTAATTGGCACAGACCCCATATAACGGTACCTCCCGATTTTCTGTAGTTTGAAGGTTTCTGCCACAATTTTCAACCAAATCAGCTGAAGCTTTACATTTAAGGTTCGTATAAGGTCTGTTCTTTCCTTGCGAAAAATAATCATTTAATATCCACTAATAAGTACAGATCCCAAATAGCGGTACCTCCCGATTTTCGATATTTTTAGGGTTTTTGCCACATTTTTCAACCAAATCAGCTGAAACTTCACTTTTGGGGTTCTTGAAAGGTCTGTTCTCTCCTTGCAAAAAGTGTTCGATTAAGGTCCACAAATTGATATGGCACCTATATAACGGTGTATCCCGAATTTCCGTATTTTGAGGTTTACCGCCACAATTTCCAATTAAATCAGCTGAAACTTAATATTAGGGTTCTTTAAAAATCTGTTCTCTCTCTGCGAAAATTATGCCATTCAGGCCCTCTAATTGGCATGGCCACCATATAACGGTATCTCCCGATTTTCGTTAAAACTTAAAAAAAAACCAAAATTATCCTTAAAAATCCGTAAGTGGTCCTTGAATAGTATTGTAAATAATAGTGCTTCAAACAATATTTAACAAATCCTCATATTTTCTCTGCACGTTTCTTCGATGCCACATCTGGCAGGACAATAAAAAAATATACTTGGTTCTTGAAAAAATTTCCTAAGAAAATTCACGTTTGGTTCTTGGAAAAGTCCTTGAAAAAAAATTTTTTTTTTAAAAATTCGAATTCAAATCCGAAAATTCAATTTTTTTAATCTGTGATTTGTCCGTAAAAACATTTAATAAATACTAAAAAATCTTGTTTTCAAGAAGTAAGAAAAATATTTAAAACCCCAATTTTTGTTCCTGAAAATTTTCTTAAAAATATAATCCAAATCCGAAAATTCAAAATTTCCTTACACAAAACTGCGATTAAACGACTGAAAATTTTCTAAAAAAAAAATAAAAATCCGGGCTTAGTGCTTAAACATATTTTTTTAAAAATCCGCAAATATGGTCTCGGAAAAATGTTCTTCGAAAAATATTTTAAAAATTCGAATTGAAATCCGAAAGTTTAATTTTTTTAATCTGTGATTTGTCCGTAAATACATTAAACAAATATTTAAAAAATGTTGTTTTACCTCCTGAAAAAATATTGAAAGCCCCACCTTTTTGTTCCTGAAAATTTTCAAAAAAATTTTGTAACAATTCTTTTTTTTTTTTTGTTTTTGAAACTATTTAAAAAACGCTATTAAATAGTCCAATCTTAGTTCTTAAAAATATAATCCAAATCCAAAAATTCAAAATTTCCTTACATTAAACTGCGATTGAACGACTGAATATTTTCTAAAAAAAATTTTCAAAAATCCGGGTTTAGTGCTTGAACATATTTTTTAAAAATCCGCAATTAAATAGTTCAAACTTAGTTTTTAAAAATATAATAAAAATCCGAAAATTCAAAATCTCCTTACAAAAATCTGCATTTGCTCCCTGTATAAAATATATTGATTTCGTCCCTGAATCTTTAAAAAGCCGCTATTTGCTCCTCAAAAATTAAAAATAAATTAAAAAAAATAGTCTTAAAGCTTTTTTTAAAATCCACTATTTAATTTTTTTAAAAATCTACTATTGTATAATCCAAATTGGGTCTTAAAAATACACTTTAAAATAATTGTCAACTGTATTGTCCTAAAAAAAATTATGTTAAATCAGCAAAAAAAAATATTTAAAAAAATCCACGTTTAACCAATTTTTAAGATATTTGTAATTAAAAAAATGGCCTTTAAAAATTCTTCAAAACTACTTTATTTAATTTTTTCTGTTCCCCCATTTTCTCTTTGTAGGAAACAACGCCAAACATTAAGAAAAATGGTTATTGATATTGTACTATCAACCGATATGTCCAAACATATGAGCCTATTGGCCGATTTGAAAACTATGGTAGAAACTAAAAAGGTAGCCGGATCTGGTGTACTACTGCTGGACAATTACACAGATCGTATACAGGTATTTATTCAAATGTTAACCTTTTTATTTCGGACCCTTCTAAATTCTATTTTATTCTAGGTTCTTGAAAATCTTGTCCATTGTGCCGATTTGAGTAATCCAACCAAACCGTTGCCGCTGTACAAACGTTGGGTTGGCCTGCTCATGGAGGAGTTCTTCCTGCAGGGTGACAAGGAGCGCGAATCGGGCATGGACATCAGTCCAATGTGTGATCGTTATAATTCGACGATTGAAAAGTCGCAGGTCGGCTTTATTGATTACATTGTACATCCACTCTGGGAAACTTGGGCCGATTTGGTGCATCCAGATGCCCAAGATATATTAGATACGCTTGAAGAGAATAGAGACTATTATCAGAGTATGATACCGCCATCACCACCACCATCACAGGCCGATGAACAATTAGCGACAGATGATAAGATAAGGTTTCAGGTGAGGATTGGAAAAATAATTCAGGGGCAATATTTTGAATAGACCTGGATTTTTTTTTTTTTTTTAAATCTGCTTTTAATAAAATATCTGATGGAGCCAAGAAAAGTTCATCAAAACAACTGCGAATGAAAGTTGACAATGAATGAAAGTATATTAAGTTCGTCATTCCATTTGTAACTCATAGAAATAATAATTTTTGACCTTGATCAGCGTAAAATTCTACGACGATTTAGCCCTGTCCGTCCGTCTCTTGTAATCACGCTACAGTCAAAATGAATTAAGATAGGAAGCTAAAATATTGCACAGATCTGTATTTTGTCTGCAGGCAGGTCAAGTTCAAAGATGGGCTATATCGGCCCACGATATCGTATAGCCCCCATATAACGGTACCTCCCGATATTCGGTATTTTGATGATTTTAGCCAATTTTTCAATGGAATTGTCTGAAAACTCAAACAAGGGGTTCCTTGTGAGTACTTTATCCCTTAAAATTATTTATATAGGTCCACGATATCGTATAGCCACCATATAACGGTACCCCTCGATATTCGGTATTTTTTATTTCAAACTATTTTAAATTATCCTTCAAAAAATATTTGTTTTCAAAAAATTCCTTCAGAATTCCGCGATTGCTTATTTTTAATCGTTTAAAAATACTTTTTCAAAATCCTCGTTTTCACTAAAAACCGTCCTTAAAAATATATAAAAAAAATTTAAAAATTATTTTAAAAATATCGTCTTTTAAAGAAAAAAAATATTTTTTTATTTCCAAAAATTCCTTCAAAATTCTACGATTGTTTATTTTTAAAAATATATGAAAAAAAAACATGTAAAACTTATTTAAAAATAATCGTGGAAATCGTTCTTTAAAAAAAATATTTTTTTAAAAACAAAAACACTAGAGTTCAAGTTTTAAAAATTCTAAATATTTTCAAAAAATGTCTGAAAATTGCAGGATTGTTTATGTTTCAAATTTTACAAAGTCCCAAAACATTTGCAAAAAATTTTCAAAACCGACGTTATTGCTCAAAACTTCTTTAAAAAATATTAAAAAAAAAACATATAAAAATTATTAAAAAATCTCTAAAATTTTGAATTTTTTCAATTATTTTTGTATTTTTAATTTAAAAATAATTTAAATATTCATTTTTTCTTCTCCCCCCTTCCCCCCCTAGGTAACCCTTGAAGAGTCCGATCAAGAAAATTTAGCTGAATTAGAGGAGGGCGATGAAACGGCAGCCGAACGTGGTGATGATGGTGTTAGTGCTGCTGATAACATGACCACCGCGGGTGACAATAAACCGTCGGGGAGTCAAAATCAACCGCATCACGCTGGAATGTGACGGAGAGTCGTGGGACTATGCCGAAAAATAACTGAAAAGGCGCAAAATTTTTTGCTTATACGTTAGTGACTTTTAACTACAACAACAAACAAAAAAAACCAAATAGAAAACAAACAAAAAACCACAACAACAACAGAGAAAAAAATAACAGAAAAATCAAAAAAAAATATCCTCCTCAACAACAAAATATAGAATTTCTTCATCATCTCTCTCTTATACGCAACAAAAACAACTCTATATACAAACAAACAAAAAAGGAATAATTTTCAAATTCAAGACAATGCTAAGATAGCAAACCCAAAAACAAAAACAAATACAACAACAAAATAGTTAAGATTTTACTTTTTTCTAACAAACTCAAAACAAAACAAAAAACAACAACTAATAGAATTTTTTTCATTTAAGTTTAGAAATGAAAAAAAAGAAGATGTCCCATTTTTTTAAAAACAAAACCAAATATTCAAAAAAAAACAAAACATTTTTATGACACCGACAAGTTGGCAAATCCAAATAACAAAAGCATAGTAAATTAAATACAGAATAACAACAACAAGAACAACCATAATAATTGTTTAGGGAAAACATAGAAAAACCACAACAACAACATCACCATGAAAACAAAAAAAAATTAAAAGAAAAAGAAAAACATGCTTAAAAACCAAAAAAAAAAAAATCAACAATATCAAATTTTGTATTTTTTGTTGTATTTTTTATATAAGATTTTATTTAATTTTATTTTTAAAAAAAGTTTGAATTCATTATTATTAATATGTAATTTTTTTATAAATATTGACAAACAAACACATTACTAGACATTAGACGTACGTTCTCTACGAAAAACCGCAGACATACAAAAACTGTTATACTGGACCTTAATGAAAACAAAACAAAAATAAAACCTAACGACAACAGTGACCCTGACCTTTATACGCTGACCTAACTTCCCAGACAATGACATTACAAAAGAACTCCACATTATAACAGTTATACTACAACAAAGATATGTTACACACATGTTGCCCAAGCAAAAAAGCTTTCTTCTTCAATTCAAAACAAAAATATTGTATTTAATTGTTAAAATTTTTAATTCATTATTTTATATGTAAAATTAATTAAAACAAAACCCCTCCCCCCAAACTGTTATACAGTCAAACAAGGCAGGTAACGGACTAGGTTTCTTCAATTTCATTTTGGGCTTAAATAACCCATTTCCAAAATTTTACAAAAAAAAACTAAATTATTTACCCATCTTCATAAAGTTCGTTATAGCAATGTTTGACTGTTTTTTTGCTATAAATATAACGTTTTGTTTTACTTTTGTAGTTATTATTAAAAAAAAAAATTCAATAACTGTATTTTTTGCATGCAAATTTTATTTATTATTACTAAGTTAAAATCCACAAAAAAGAGAAACAATACCCAGTAAAGAGAGAAACAAACAATGCTAAAAGAGAAAACTACACATTTTTCCTTGTTAACGATTTTCCTTATTATTTTTTTAGAAATATTATAATATGTTAAGTTTTAAGATTAAGTAACAGAAACTGCAAAGAAACAGGTATTTTTTCAAAACTCACAGACATACACACAAGATCGAGGCAATTTTGAAAAGGAAACAGAAAATAGACACCAAAGTGAGAAACACAAAACATTTTGAATGAAAACAATGTTGTGAGCAGATACAATAAAAATCAAATCAAACAGATGAGAGCAGATAAAGACTAATTGTTATACATAAGGGAAGCAGGAAGAATTGAGATTTTCAAATTAATACCAAAGAAATATAGAACGTAATTTTGTTTATAAAAAAATATGTTTTCATTATTTTTATTTTAAAAAACTATATTTAAAAATCCCTACAGTTGAAAATTTTATGAAAATAATAAAAGGTACCACAGTTTCAGAAATTGTAAAAGAAACAATAGAAAAGGGAATATATAACAGTTATATAGCAATTATATAACAATTATATAAGAATTATATAACAATTATATAACAGTTATATAACAGTTATATAAAATTATATAACAATTATATAACAGTTAAATACACAACGGACATGGAACGTATAACAGTTATAGTATTCTAATTATGAATTGTATAACAGTTGAAAATTTTATAAAAATAATAAAAGGTACCACCGTTTCAGAAATTGTAGAGGGAACAATAGGAAAGGGAATGTATAACAGTTATATAACAATTATATAACAGTTATCTAACAATTATATAACAGTTATATAACGGTTATATAACAATTATATAACAGTTAAATACACAACGGCCATGAAACGAATAACAGTTTTAAAATTTCCAACAGCTTTAAAACTTTTTTGCAGTTATGCGATGTATAACAGTCATAAAATGTATAACAATTATCAAATGTAGAACAGTTATGAGAAGAATAATAGTTAGCGAATTCCTAACAGTTGCTAAAAGTATAAAAGTATAACAGTCATAAAATTATTCAATTTACAACAGCTTTTAAAGTTATTTACAGTTATGCAATGTATAACAGTCATAAAATGTATGACAATTATCAAATATATAACAGTTATGAATTACATAACAATTCATAGAAGTATAATAGTTAGCGAATTTCTAACAGTTTTTCAACGTATAACAGTTATATAATGCATAACAGTCATAAAAATATACAATGCCCATCAGTTTTTAAAGTTATTTACAGTTATGCAATGTATGACAGTTGCAAAATTTATGACTATAAAATGTATAACAGTTAGGTAATTCCTAACAAGGTATAACAGTTATACAATATACATAACGGTTATATAATGAATGAATGAATTCTATAAAATAATAAATGTATAACAGTTATGAAATTCATAACGGAAAATATATAACAGTTATACAATGTATAACAGTCATAAAATTATTCAATTTCAAAAATATTGAAAGTTATTTACAGTTATGCAATATATAACAGTTGAAAAATGTATGACAATTACTAAATGTGTAACAGTTTTCAAATTAATAACAATTCTAAAGGCATAACAGTTATACTATCCTAAACAGTTATAAAATGTGTGGCAGTTTTCAAATTTATAACAACTATGAATTCTATAGCAAAGGGGAAATTTATAACAGTTATGGCATTTTTACAGTTTTAAAATATTCGATTTAACATGTTATCTGGGTTAAATTCGTAATTTTAATTACAATTTGATGTGTATAACAGTTATAGAATATATAACAGTTGTGTATAAAAGTTATGCATTTCATAACTGATTTTATACTAAATTCACCAAACTATTGAATACAGAAATGAAATAGATATTGCTTTTCAATAGTATAACAGTTATGAAACGTAAGACTAAAATATATTTTATATAACTGTTTGACTAATGAGATTTATAAAATCATACTTACCATATTAAATTGACGAATTTTCCAAAAAAAATGATATGTATAACAGTTATATAAAGTATAACAATTGAAGAGTATTACAGTTGTATCGTATATAACAGTTTTAAAAGATATTAAATGTGTGTACATGGAATTTACCACAGTTATAAAATGTATACTCGAAGGAAAATGTATAACAGTTATAATGGGTGACGCAAATATATATTTATAACAGTTTGACCAATAGAATGTTTAAAAAAATAATTTTTTGAAACAAATTTATGTATTTCATAAGAAATTTTGATAATAAATAAAAGTAAGGTTTTTTGATATATCTATTTATCAATTCTTAAATATTATAAGAACCATAAACTGTTATATTGCAAAGTATTAATAAATTTTTTAGGTTGCACTTGACTTTTTTCCTTGAACATTTTCATATCAATATTATATAGAAAATAAAACTGTTATACTACATATAAAACTGTTATACTGCATATAAAACTGTTATACTGTATATAAAGCTGTTATACTGCATATAAAACTGTTATACTACATATAAAACTGTTATACTACACATAAAACAGTTATACAAAATTCCAAAAAATCAATTTTATTGGTTCGATTAAAAATTTCGTGGTTTAAAATTGTTTTACTGCATGTACAACTGTTATACAGTGTTATATAAAATTTCCAAAATTTAAATTTTCCAATGTCTACGAGCAAATTTCCTTTCAACGTTCAGTTACATGTTTCGTCATTCTTATTTTAATTCGACTTCTGCAGTAAAACTATTATACTACTTCCAAAAAAATGGTTACATTAATTTTTTAATAATTTTTTCGATAAATATCAACAGTATATGGAAATAGTATCTGTTATACCATACAATGAAACTGTTATACTGCATGTAAAAACTGTTATACAAAATTCAAAATTCAATTTTTTTAATTTTCTCCATGAATTTAAGCAATTTTGAAACCTATTCATATGGTTTTTTCTTATGTATAACAATTTATGTCTTTATATTTAAAAATTTTTCACACAAAGAGAGAACACATTGTTTTTGTCTCTAGGAGAAAAACTGAAACTTTACTGAACTGTTGGACTCGAATTTAAGTAGAAAAGAAAACACGAAATACGTTGTATATTAATAAAGAAGTTAGATTTGTTGCTTTTTTTGTTCAAAACAAAACAAAATGCTGGCATGGGAAAATAAGAAAAAATATTAATTTTTTTAATTTTTATAAAAAAAAAAACATTTTTTTAACTTGACAAAATAATTTTCTTCTTTTGAAATTCAAACCAAATTAAATGCTTCCTTATACTCTCTACCAAAAAAAATCAACAACAACAAAATTAAAGCATCACAAAGTCTTCTTCTTTTTTTTGGTTAGAAAAACCAAATTAAAACTGAAAAAAAAAAACAACAACAAAATGCACAATTATAAGTTTTCAATAACACACGTATAAAAAAATATTTTCAAAATTTATAACACTTTTTTTAAATGGATTTTATTTACACGACATGAAGAAAATTTTTTAAATGGAAAAAATTGAGTTTTTTTTCTACTATTATTTAGAAAATGAAAAAAAAACAACACAAAAAATTACATATTTTACAAACAATAACAACAAAAAGTAAGAAATTGTTTTTAACTAAAATGACAAATTATGGCCAAATAATATAATAAAAAAGATTTTTTAATTAGTAATGATTTTTATAGTTTTCGTTTTTAACCTAATTTATTTTAAACAAAAAAAGAACATGTTTACATCAAACAAACAAACAACAACAATGTTAATTTATTAGTTTTTAATTTTTTTTTAATTTTGTTGACAGGGCAGGATCCCGCTCTTTATTTTTACAAATACCAAACTAAGCTTAACTAAACTGAAAACAACAAAAAAAAATACAAAGAAAAGTAACAGAAAAAACAGTTTTGCTTTTCAGCAAAGCCAACCAAAAAAAATCTATATATATACTATATATACATATATTTATAATTAGTAGAGAAAATACATGAAAAGAAAAAATCTAAGAAAACAAAAAATATAGGAAAACAAACAAACAACAACCTTGATGGTTAAAAAAATATCATTTAATAAAAACAAAATATTAATATCTAACAATTAAGAAACAAACAAAATAAAAACTAAGAGAAAACAACTTAGCATTACAAAAAAAACAACAACAACAAAACAAATGGAAATAAAATGAAAACCGCAACAAACATTGTTAAACTAATAGTTTATATTATTATATAACAAAAAAAATAAAATAAAATATAAATTAAAAATAAAAACAAAAACATGTTGTAGTAATGAAACACACACACAAGCAAACATACATACATAACAAATGATTGTAATTATTATTAAGCATAGGCAACAACAACAACAACTAGAACGTCCCTCCCAAGCCAAGCCAACCCAACCCTCGACTCCCACTCCACTCCCATCCAACCCAAGTCTCCCACACACACACACACACCCATCAATCACCTGAAAACAAATCTACAACATTTGAGATGTTGTCTAACCCAAAATGTCCCCCACTCCTCCACCTACTCCTCGTCCATCTACTGAGAATAAAAACCCAATGTCTAATTTATAATTATAAATAAATGAACATGAAATTTAATAAAAATGCAAATAAAAGAAACTTAAACAAAACATTTGAGTGAAAATTTAATTATTTACAAAACCAAACAAAAATAATAAACCATAACAGCAGGAAACAAAACAAAAACATAGCATGTCTTTTTTCTCTTTCTCTTGTAAACTATAATGAGTATAATAATAGCAACAACAACTACACAAACGTAAGCGTAACATTTAATATTAACTAACTAACTACAACTACTATTACTAACTGACATGAATTTATAAATATAATAACTAAATAAAATAATATAACGTATGTAATTAAATTAGGAATATATAGCAAAAGAAATAACTAATTTCAATTTCGATTCTCTTCAAAATGACTTCCAAATTAAAAATCAATTTTTTTGGTGTATAACAGTTTAGCAAAACTGTTATACTGCATCTTAAATTTCAAATCCAGTAACGGATTACATGATTTTAATAATTGAACGAAAAAAAATTGTTGTATAACACTTTGACAAAACTGTTATACTGCATTTAGAATTTAAATGCCAGTGACGGCTTACTCGATTTTAATTATTGAATGAAAAAAATGTTGTATTGTAGTTTAGCAAAACTGTTATACTGCAGCAGAAATTCAAAAGCCATGGTGGGCTTACTCTTTTTTTAATAATTAATTGAAAATTATTGTAGTATAACAGTTTGGCAACACCGTATACTGCATTTACATTTTAAAAGCCAGGAAAGTATTATTTAATTTCATAATTGAACGAAAAAAATTGTTTTATAACAGTTTAGCAAAACAGTTATACTGCACCTAAAGTTTAAAATCCCGTAGCGGCACACTCAATTTAATAATTGAACGCAAAAAAATTGTTGTATGACAGTTTAGCAAAACTGTTATACTGCAGCTGAAAGTCAAAATCCTTAGCAATTTGGTAAAACTGTTATACTGCATCTAAAATTTAAAATCCAGTGACGGCAAACCCAATTTTAATAATTAAACGATAATTATTGTTTAATAACAGTTTAGAAAACTGCTATACTGCAACTGAAAATCAAAAGCCAGTGACGGCTAGAACAGTTTGGCAACTAAAATGTGAAAGCCAGCGATGGTTTATTCAATTTTAACAATTGAAAGAATAAAATTTTGTGTAACAGTTTAACAGTTATACTGCATCTGAAATTTAAAAGCCAGGACGACATGCTCAATTTCGACAATTGAACGAAAAAAATTTTGTACGGCTTATTCGATTTTAATAATTGAACGAAAAATTTTTTGGTATAACAGTTTAGCAAAACTTTTTTGGTATAACAGTTTAGCAAAACTGTTATACTTCATTTAAAATTTAAAAGCCAGCAATGGCTTATTCAATTTTAATAATTAATAAACGAAAAAATGTTGTATAACAGTTTGCCAAAATTGTTATACTGCATCTAAAATTTAAAATCCGGTGACGGCTTACTCAATTTTAATAATTGAACAAACAAAACAAACTGCATTTGAAATTCTAAAGCCAGGATGGGGTAACTTAATTTTTAATAATTAAACTAAAAAATATTGTATAACAGTTAAGAAAAACTGTTATACTGCATCAAGAATTTAAAACACAGCTCACTCCATTTTAATAATTAACCGCAAATAATCGTTGTATAACTGTTTGGCAAAACTGTTATACTGCATCTAAACTTGAAAAGCAATAAACGGCTTACTCAAATTCAATAATTTAACTAAAAAAGTGTTGCATAACAGTTAAGAAAAACTGTTATATTGCAGCAGAACAGTTTAGAAAAACTGATATGCTGCATCTGAAATTCAAAAGCCAGTAGCGGCTTACTCAATTTTAATAATTAAACTAAAATTATTGTTGTATAACAGTTCATCGAAAACTGTTATAAATATTTTTTAATCTGCCATACGTCTACTTGGTTATAGAGTTCAATTTCGTATCGTTATACAAAAAGAGATCCTTAGGCTTTTTCAGTGTTGTAGATGAATGACAGGTTATTGTTCATAGCCGTTTTATTTCTCTCTCTCTCTTTTATATTTAATAGTTATACATTATTTCTAATCAAAAAATTATTGAATATATCAGAGTATCAATTTCTATAATCTTCTAATGCTACGAGTAATTGTTGGAATATATGTATTTTTTCAAATTGTATAATAGTTTATGAGAAACTGTTATAAACCGTTTAAAATGGCATTCTAAAACTTTTCACATAAATTTGTATGTTTGTCTTCTTAAATCAACTGAGAATTTGTTGAAGCCTAAGATAAAATGTTATACATGCTAGCAAAAAAATTAGTCCAATGATGTTTTATCTTCTACTTCTGAATCTGATTACTAGAGCATCCTTTTAAAATGTTTTAAGAATATTTTAACAATAACATGTCTTGGTCTTCATGTCGTTCTTAAATAGAAGTGATGCAATATTTATAAACAAAACTATTGGTTTATATAGAGATCCTTTCATATCTACGTGCGGCGTTGTGCACACTCATGTTACGCCCAAAGATATGCTTTGAATTTCATGCAGATAAGTGTCATTGCAGCAAATGTGACCGTTTGAGATGGTTTAACAAAGTACAGAGGACATTTATTACTACCCGATTGTGATAATATTTGGACACTCTCTTCTAATAGTAAATTCTACTGAAATTGGTACAAATCGAGTCCACATTTTTCAATGATTCTAAACAGACACAACTCTTTATAATAGCGGACAACTGAAGGCATCAGAACAGTTAAATTCAAAACTGTTTTGTGGTTTTGCGCCGAAGGTTTTTTATGACCCTTAAAATATATGATCTGAATCACAAGAAAAGTATCCTCAATACTCTAGACTTCGTAATATTTAAATTGAGACACGTTTTGGAATACTGCCATTATAAGGACGATTTCAGCTATAACAAGGTACTTAACCACATTTCCCATTCGATTAGACTGAATGAATTGATCGGTGAGGTGAAAAATCCAAATTGAAGTGTGTAAAACCAAGCATAAGGTAAAATTGATTACCTGTTCAAGTCATCGGAATTGAGATCTTATGATTGTACTTCTACATGGTATGTCGGACAACACAAATTTGCTTTGAAAATTTGTGTTCCATAACTGTACTGATCTTTCGACATCATAAAAGAAAAATCGGTTATCGCAGGTTCGGCAAGAATTATCTTTACAATTCCTGAGGAAAAAATTGGAGAAAGATAACATAACACCAAATATACCGTTGTACTGTTATACGGACGATATAGCACAACGTTGACCTATATAATCTGTTTTAATACCCTACACCACATAGTGGTAAGGGTACTATGTATTTGGACATTTGTTTGTAACGTGGATAAGGAAGCGAGATAGACCCATAGTTACTTATAGGATCTTCATACAATCACTTTCTGTGTAGATTTATGCTTGTCAGTCCGCCCGTCCGTCCGTCGTCAAAATACAGGTTGCATTTATTATTCGATTGAGATGAAATTGTTGCAAAGTATATTTGTTTAGCCCAAGGACGATCCCTATTGAAATTACTGAAAATCGGTTCAAAATTAGATATAGCTCGCATATATATATCTTCGACCGATTTTGTATTGATTGCACACCAAATGACCAATATAAGTCCAAATGACCTGTCACATCCCACCGAATTCAGTCTAGAAGCAAGTATATCAAATTTGAAAAAATAATCGGTAAAGATATAGCTATAGCACCCATATATATGGTCCATCCAACTTGGGGTTTTAAGTCCCTCGCATACGTAATATGCATTCCACAACAATTATTTTTGGTGCCAGTTATCGGATACAGCTCAGAAATAAGTGTTTAAAATTTTTGTCCGATTTCAGGTTTTTTGTGCACCAAATGACTAATATCCACCCCACTTGTGTATTTTGGCACTTTCGACTGCATTCAGACTAAAAGCAAGGGCATCAAATATTGGTGAACTAAACTCCCATATATATGTTTCATCCGATTTGGTGTTATAGTCCCTCACATGTGTAATATGCACTCCACAACAATGATATTTGATATTGGGCAACAGTTACTGCTCGAAAATACCTCTGCCAAAATTTAACGAGATCGCTTCAGATTTTCATATAGCTTCGACAAAAACATTTCCATTAGATTTTGATATGTAATATCAGCCAAAATTGAATAGTTTTTTATATTCAACCGAATTTTACCATTTGGTGAAACTCGGTCCGGTATATCTACCTGAATAAAATAATACAAGAAAAGTACTACAGCATTTAATTTGCCATCCCTGGAATTTTGTTTTCATGCCTTAATTTTTGTAGCATATTTTTAGGATTTCAATAAATTTTACATTTTAGTAATATTCATTCACTTTTAACCTACAAAAAAAAAACGTGGAACACGCACTTTCTATCGATAATTTTTTATAGCAATTCTCAAAATGTTCTTCTCTTTTTCTGTAATTAAATTTTCAAAATATAAAACTAAAACTTAAGAGCAACTAATAAGCAATTCTTTGAAGATACCTAAATAAATGTCAAACTAAGGAAAATAACTGAAAAACAAACCAAGTAAAACTTATATGTGTGCCATTGTTGTGGGACAGTAGTAGTGAAGGTGTCATAAACAAGAAGCTCTGAAAAAAATGTAAATAATAATAATAAAAAATCTCCACAGAAAAAAATTTTAAGCTACAATGCCAAAAAGAACAACTAGACAACAAAAAATAGAAACATGGAGGCAAAAAAACTCAAAACTGAGAAAACTGAAGACAAAAAAAGGTTGAAATCTAAATTTAAAAAATTATACATACATATATACATATAGAGGTAAATACTTAAAACGGTGAGCATAGTAAGAAGAAAGAAAGAAAGTATTAAAAAAATTACACTGTAAAAAAATAATGACAAAAAATATTTGAGTAGTTTTATTGAAAAGTAAAATACAAATAATATTATGACTTATAAAAACTAAATATTATTGCTAATAATAATTGTGTAAATAATTTAGAAATTCCCCAAGAAAAACCACAACAAATATACATTAATATATAAATATATTAAAAACAAATTTTATGTAAATGTTAT